TAAACCCTAAACCCTAAATCCTCGCATCCTATCAGCCCAACAGCCAAAGCACGGGCCAACCTCGGAGGCCCGTAGCTCTAACGTAAGCCTTTGTGGACCTAACCTTACCCATAGGCCCCATAATAGTTGCTTTTTGGGGTTAGGGTTAGGGTTTAGGGTTTAGGGTTTAGGGTTTTATTATAGGATTCTATATTTAGGGCCTATGGGTAAGCCCCATAATTTCAAACCCTGCAGGCGCGCCTGTGGTGGGGGAGAAACAGACAAGCCGTGGTGCTGATAGAGATCCTGCAGCTTCCGAAATCTTACCATACCACATCCTCGCCCCAAAGGGGTTGAGGGCTTTAGTTTAGGGCTTCAGGGCTTCAGGAGTTCTCATGTTTTCAGGTTTAGGGCTTTAGGGGTTCAGGGTGCAACGTCCTAAAGTATGATGCATAGCTCTCCCAGCTGCAGGTGCGGAGGACCCCTGCATCATCCTCAGGCGATCATCCTAATGTCAAGTGCGTTCAAGACGAGGCCCTTGACTTAACCCTAAACCCCAAACCCTAAACCGGAATCCGGTATTTAAGCTTTTACTTGCCATAGTACTTCGAAACAACAACTGCTTCAATTTCAAGATGAGCACAAATAAGCCAATGACCCAGACAAAAAACACGAAAGCTGCCGGCTTCTGCCTGGAAGAGCAGCGGCCAAACCCAGTTCTGAATTCAAGACCCTTCCCGATTGCAACCCCCCTGTAGAACTGCTTGTAATGTAGAGGCCTTAATAGTTAGAACACGATTTTGGGCGTTCCTTGTTATGATTATAGTATAATTAGAATGCGGTTGCGGGGCCCATGATACTACAATCATAATAAGGAACCCCTCAAAGCTCTATTCTAATTATTAAGGCCCTTATATCATAGACCCCTGAACCCTAAGAAGCCTTGAGGCCCGATTCTACTTATTGAGGCCTCCCTAACGCTTCAACCCTAAACCCTATAAGCCCCAAACCCTCAATCTTAAAACCTTAAAACCTAAACCCACAAAGCCCAAATCCCCAAGCTCTACACCTTAAGCCCTAAGGGTTTGGGGTTTAGGGTTTAGGGTACAAGCCCCAAACCCCAAACCCCTCAAAACCTAAATCCAAGTGAGGCCTTGATCAGCGCATCGCGGGACGAACAGGGGCCCAGCGACCCGAGCAGTTCCTCGAGACACTGGGCCTCGACCTTGGCGGCGTTAACATGTTATGGTATGCTATATTAGGTTGAAGTACCTTTTAGTATGTTAATAGTTTCTCTCAAAAGTATATTTTTTCGTATGTTATAGTATATATTACGATATGATTAGAATATGTTTTGGGGGGGATGCATGTAATGCTACTGTAGTTTTAGGGTAGGGACGATATGGGATTTGCTTTGGTGCAGGGGCCTCAAGAAGTATTTCGGGTTTCAGAGGTTTTACAAAGGGTTTGTACAGGGGCTTATCGGCATAGCGGCTGGCCATACATTCAAAATAGACTTCGGGGGGAAATTATACTCGTACTGTGACTATCATAGCGACACTGTATGGAATGGCAACTTTTGCAAGATTGTCGTGCTGTCTCACAGCATGTCTCTGTGTGTGTGTGCGCGCATATGCTTGCGAGAACTGTTCAACTATTCTTCTAATGGTATGAAGACAGATGGTTTGGGAGGGCTTTCCGGCCGTTGCCTCGTGCATAACTTGTGGAGGGGGTAGCGAACATTTCATTTACAGCGCAAAAACGCTTAACCTTTTGGGGAATTGAGGTCTGAACTTCTCGTTGGGCCTTCGGATGGACTGGGGCTTTGGAGTTTTCTGGAAAACAAGGTCCCCACAAGGGTTCCTTTCACCAAGTGTTCCGTGAATGGCTCCCTTAGGAGTTTTGCTCGAGAAAGGGGTGTGAGGCTCCCGAAATCTCCCGAATGTTTTGCGACTGATGCCCTCTCTTTGGTTGAAAGTGTAACCGCTTTTGCGACTGATGTCCTCTCTTTGGTTCCAAGTGTAATCGCCCATGGTTGCCAACGCCTACCCAAAACCCAAGAAAACTTCTTCAGTGAAGAAGCTGCTTTAAAAGTTTACGGAAAGGTTAAGGGATCGGGGTTTCAGGTTTAGGCTTTGGCGACGCCTGTTATGATACCCTAATCTTCCCCAAAAGACCTGAAAGAAAGGATTTCCTGCGGAGGTTCTAGCTTCCTATAGGAGTGTTCTGCAGGCTACCTCAGTCCTATGCAATCTGGTCGAAGTGCTAAGTGGGAGCTAGGATTAGGGGGACCCTTGGGGATATAGACCCTCTCAATAAGGTCCCTTTTCAGATAGCCCAAAGTAGGGTTCAGAAGGGGACCCTTTAAGGGGTACCCCTAATGATACTACCTATTAAGAAAAACTTGGCATTCTGTCGTCTTCGTCGGCAGGTGTTAGGAGCTCAGAGTTCCTTCAATTGCTACTCGAACTCGAGGTTGGATGCCTTTAGAACCAGAGACTCCAATACCCCTTAATTAAGGAATATACCTTAAATCATATTAGGGATCCTACTATAATTTAAGGTATATTCCTTAATTAAGGGGTAATGGAGTCTCTGGGGAACCTGTACCCTAAACCGTTCGCTGGGAAACCATTTCACGCAGGGGCATTCCACCCATGCCTCAAACCAGAAATCCAGGAGGCTGCCGAACCCACTGCCAAACCTTAAACCCCAAAGCCCTAAAGCCTCAATCCCCGAGGAACCTAAACCCAAACCCTAAATCGCACAAACCCCTACTCGTACCCTCAATCCCTGTCCTAGCTCTGCAGCTCCCCAGCTCACACTCTTTAACCTCACTCCAG